ATTGTATGTTATTGGGCCTCTAATGAGCCTATTATATTTTATCCAGATCACATATCATATCTTTAACATTTTTTTTTTCAAATTTGATTGATGAGATAACGACGCTCATTTAAAACACTAATTGACGTAATGTTTTTTTTGGTAATGGATGTAATTTATTTTTGTTTAATAAAACTCGTGTGATTTTTGGCTTTAGCATTAATGAATTAGGTGTTATATTTACATCTGTGTGCCCATAGAAATTTTACCTATTGTTATTACAATTATATATTATATCGACTTTCCGTTTCGCCATTATGAATAATACCAACCTGAGGCTGAGAGTACAACAAATTGAATGCATGATTGCATATGGTCCCAAGTTCCAATCGTTCAATATTATCCGGATGTTTATCAAGTCGTGTTCAATGTTTTTTCCGAGCATGATATAAATTTATGTCCTTTGTGTTAGGATTTATTAACCAAAAACACAATTGGGATATTGAGAATACATGTTTTCACATAAGACAATGATAAATATACAAACATTTATTCATGAAGGTTGATAATGATTCTTAATTTGTAAATTTTAATTGGAACTCTTTGCAATCTTTTTAATTACAGTTTCAATTCAATGTTCTTTTCTAGACACAGACTATGAAGGAGGCATTATTTCATACGTTTTTATTATGTAAAAATAGTAGTTCCCATTCCTTTTATAACTGCTACCACTAGAAATGTTACCCATTGTGATTACCATTGTTATTGAAAATTAGTGTAAAAACGTAAATTACTTTTTTTACATTTTTACTAAGGTGATACGTCTTAAGATACAAGTAAAAACTTTCCTTAATAAAAACTGATAAAAACTATGTGTAAAAATAGTAGAAACACAAGTTTTTACGTTTTTACTTAAACCAAAAAATCAAACGAGGTCAACTTTTAACCCATGATTGATTTTATTTTTATATTTTTAATAAAATAAAATAAAATAAACCCTATTTCCATTTCCCCAAATCAAATGTACAGTATCATCTTCTAGCTATTTGAAAAAAAAAATCCTCACGCGAGGCCGCTGTATTTCCATTTAAGAGTTGTTAAACTTTATTCTTTGATGTTGTGGAACTTGGTTATAGGAGTTGTTAAACTCTTTTTTGTGTTTTTGGACTTATGTCTTATATAGTTATGTGACTTATATCTTTTAAATATGAAGTTATTCATTGAAATTTGAATAGTGAATTATGCGATATTTTTTTTACATGCATATATATATAATTTTGTATCTTGACCTAAAGTAATAAAAACTGTACATTTTATGTCATTTTTACTATTTACATTTCTATCATTTCTTTCCGTTTCTACCTAAAAATTCGATTTTGGTGATTACAATTATACAATATATTGATTTTTTTTTTATTACAACAATATTGTGTTTGGCCGTTATGAATAGTACCAACCTGAGAGTACAAAAAATTGAATGCATATGGTCCCAAATTCCAATCATTCAATATTCTTCAGTTGTTTGTTAAACTGTGGCCAGTGCTTTTTCCGAGCACAAAGACTAAAACGACTTTCGTTATCAAGGTACCTAGTTATCCTCTCCCATTTTCTTTTCCTTTTTCTCTCTTCTTGTTGAGTTATAAGTGTCATTTAGCACCAAATTCAAACTTGCCTATATAAGTAAGTGCTGGAAATGCAAGAAACCCTCTCCTGCTCGATACTTACGTGAAAAATATTGCACATATTCATAGCGCTCATCATATCTTTGCTGAATACACTGTTGGGTGTTCCCCCCTGATCCCCCTTTATGACGGTATGTATTCGTCACGCATTGAATACATAGTTTTTTATTTTTTTTTATTTCAAGGCATGCCTTTTTTTTTTATGATGTTAGAGAATAATATAAACTATTAAAAATGTCCGTCACCTTCCACATTAAAATTTTGGATTGAATTAGTTCTTTATATGATATCAGAGCTTTATTAATCACAAAATCATGAGTTCGATTCTCAACGTCCTCCCACTTATAGAATTAAATAAGCATAAGGTAAATCAAAAAGAAAAAAAAATTAAGTTATGTAATATACACGTTTTAAGCCCAAAAGACTCTTGGATAAGAGATGTGTTCGAGAATAATTTAAACCACCTTTACCTAATACTTTAAGATTTTGGATTGAATTGTTGAGAGTAATTTCTCACACGAACCTCTTGCCATAACTCTGCTATAATAGTTTGTAGTTTCTGTAATTCAAAGAGAATATTCTTGTAAAATATCTCAACTATGTTGCCTAAAATAAATTAAAGGAAAAAAATTTCCAGACTTTATCTCTTGTCGTTAGAATGACACCTCCAATAAAATGCGCATACAAATATCCCTTCTCATCATATCCTCATTGAATCCAAAAACGTTGGTTCCTCTTAGATACCATTGATGAAGATGCTGATGCTGATGTATCTTCTAAGTTGTCAATACTCAAAGATTGAAGAAAACTAGATGAAGACTAAGCACATTCTAAACTGCGGGACCACTTATTTTGCACTTTAGATATGCAATTGGCATACATATGGCCCATTTCTCTTTCATCATTGCAACAATTCTTCCCTTTATGAGTTTATTTGGACTATTCAATGGCCCCACTTTACTTCCTTATTGTCTCGCTAATCATTCCCAAAGATCCACATTCATCCACGGATAAACGTAACCATGATCTCAAATTCCTACAAAAAGCAAAAGCAGAGCATGTAATCACATATATTATTCTGTGAAACTGTTAAGATTTGTTTTTAGACTTACATGAAACGATATTAACAATTCTCTATTTAGATTGGGACCTGCTTGGCAATCATGGCAGTTAATACAAACAGACACTGCTTAGTGGGGGGCTTATATATGAAGCAGCTTAGTATTTCTTTTGGAGGGTGGACTTGTGTGTTGAAAAATGCCTTTTATTCCTTATGATAATAATAATATGCCTCAAATTGCAGTATTGCGCCGTCGACTCAATACATTTTCCATTAACGATATTAAAATAGTGTTGACTAATCAAATACTTAAGCCCCGATAATTGGTGAAAGAGGTTAGTGGGGCCATGGCCTCAACCCTCAATGAGCTTTCTCAAAAATTTTAATACAGATCAAATTTCATATTGTGATCTACTAAAAAAAGAAGAAGACTCAATTTTAAAATAAAATTCCAAACTACAAGCAGAGGAGGATTGAGTGATAGGGAAAAGCTTAGGCATGGTCATTTGGTCAAAGGAAGAGTTCAAACTGGGGAGCCAAAGCGGAAAGGTCATTTTGTTTTGGAAATTGGTATAGTTTTTAGAGAGGGATGGATTGTTGGACGACCAAGAAATTCCAAGGAAGCATGAACAGCGCATGTGATTCCAATAAAGATAAAAAAAAGAAAAGTAATGCATAGAATTTTTATTCCAGAGTTTAAACCATAGTTATATTAAAGCATTTAGCAACACATACCACAAGTAGGCGGTAGCTTCTAAGAGTCAAAAACATTGAACACAATGAGGGGAAGGGAAGCCCCAATAGAGCCAGCACCACAAAATTGGGTAAGTTGCCATTGTTTCCAAAGACATACAGGACTAGGTCAGACCCAAAAGGGCCTCCCTAATCTACATTCTGAGGCACCACGCCTATCACTAATCTGTGAAATCGAACGTCACATTGTTCCATATAAAATTTATATACGGGAAATAATTTTCTCACTTTATGGAAAAATTATTATCATGTCGTAGAAATAAAATTATAAATGAAATCCACGATTAAGATAAGAGAAAAAAGAAGATGTGGGACTCACCCTTCTAGTGTGTGTAAAAAATTTGTTTCTCTTATACAAAATAAGATAAATATGACCCACAAAATACATTGTCGTAACATGGCAATTCATGAAAAAAATAGATTTTTGAAGGGATTCTTTCACATACCCAAAAAGACACAACTTTTTTTTTTCTTCTTATTTATTGTTTTCATTATTATAGAGGGGTGAGGGGTTGTCAAATTTCATAAGCCATAACACTGCATCAGTATACTTCTCTTCCAAACATTCCTTGTCCAACCAACAAAAGAAGAAGGAAGAAAAAAAAAAAAAAACAGTACATAACATTATATACACATGAACTTTATCTTTTTTCCTTCTTTAACTGCTTTTGCTTTAATTGGAAGACCAAAAAACCGGAAGGAGAATGTAGCTATAGGATAGTGCTACATCTCACTTCAAAGTTCACAGTTCATGGTTCACAAATCACAACCCCCCTCTTCGCTTTGCTGACTACGGGCAGGCTTTGTTCTGCTGACCGGGGGTCGTTTTACGAAGAAACCTTAAAGCTAAACTCATTGACCGTTGCCCCCTTGTCTTGTGCCAAGGTTGTTACTTAAAAATTGTTATTTAATACTAATAAAGCTCTTCTATGCTCACTCTTTTACTGTGCTTTATTCTGTTCAAATTCGATACTTTGTTTGCTGTGGTTGCAGAGAACGAGGAGCTTGCTTTCCCTCTCTCTCTCTCTCTCTCTCTTCCTATGCTTGGTGCATTGTCTTGTTCTACTTCAGAATCTCTTCTCACTTCCACGCATTAAAGTGTTGTCCCTCTCTCTCTTACGAGTTGGTGGCGCTTTCTTTCATATTTATGGGAGTTTGCTTCCATGCTCTTACACTTTTTATTAGTGTGGTAAGAGCACATAGCACCAGAAGAGGAAATTAAGGATATTTTGCTGTCTTCTGTTGAGTTTCTCGTGTTGATTAAGTTCTTTCTTTTCTTTTTTCTTTTCTATTCTGTATGGTGGAGAGCTTTGGAATTGAGAAACAGGGAAACAAATGAGCTTGGTCCTGTTTCTCAGCTCTAAAAGACGGATAGAAAGGGTGGAGATTGGAGAAGGGGTTTCCAAAGCAAATAATATTTTACTCTTTCAAATTCTGAGTAGTTTTGGGGTATAATTCTAAGCCACAACCAGTAACAGATAAATATCAAAGAGTACTTGGGGTGCTGTATGAAGTAGAAGTGCAAAAATGAAAGATGAGAGTTCCAAGAAAAGCAAGGTTTTGCCAATCTCCTCTTCTATAAAGATAATTTGTTTTTGGTTTTCCTTTCTTTTTTTTCCTGGGAAATGAAATTCAACATTTAGATTGTGTTGGTGTTTGTATATTGCAAGTTGTTAATTGTTTTGTCCATCTGTTGCTTGGTGAAGCTCTCATGGTCAAAGAAAATGGTCAGAAAGTTCTTTAACATCAAATGCAAATCTGAGGACTCCCAAGCAGATGTTGTTGCTTATGGAGGTGGGTGTCCTTGTTTTCTTCAAAATTCATTTTCTACTAGTGAACTGTTTCAACAAATTAATGGAGCAACAAGCATAGGATTAAATCCCATAAGAGATTGTGATGATATCACTGTCCAATGCAAAGGCCTTGCATGATTTCTCTTGTTCTAGTTGGGTACCCGAGAAACGAGGGAAAGTAAACAAATAACATCATTTGGAAAGAAAATTGAAGCCTAGGATCATTCATCAATTTCTGGCTGATTTTGTAGTTATCTAATGCAAAAAATTAAGCCTTGCCAAATAATCCTTTAGCTTTCCGTGAGGCCTAAATTCTTACCAATTCTATTTCTTACTACAATTTCTTGGAATCCAAACAAAGTGCAAGCATTCTTTAAACTCTGGAATATTTGTTCATTAAATCAGATTCTGTTTTATTTATTTTTCCTCATATAAACTCAGTTACTATAGTTTTTGTGTGTGTGTGTGATTTTGATACATTAACATCTCTTTCCTTCTTCAGGGGGTGACATGGAATGCAGAAGCAGGAATAGCTTCTCTGAGAGAGAGCCATGCACAATCAAGAAGAGCAAAACAGGTACACAATTACCCCATACCATTTCTTGAACCATGCCCATTTGAAAATCTTGATATTATTTAAAATGTTGACACTTACAAAAAATCTCTACAACCCCTCATTGTGATGAACAGATAAATTTAGCAGGAACACAGATCAGGTCAAGCGAGGAAGAATGAATCTTGACCATCCTCGAATTATAGATGTGCACAACTATAGGTATACTGCTTCACTGATTTTACTTTTTTATGAACAAATAATAAAAAAAAGGCTTTGTTCAATTTTTCATGGTGTCTTTCTTTTCTTCTTTGAACAGCATTTTTGTAGCTACATGGAATGTAGCTGGAAGATCCCCATCAAGTAATTTGACTTTAGATGATTGGCTTCATTCCTCGCCACCAGCTGATATTTATGTTCTTGGGTAGGTATTTGTAGTTGTCAACATCATCTTTAGACTTTAGCCAAACTTAGCATTAACTGTTACAAATGATACATTTGTACCTGTCTTTTTCAGATTTCAAGAGATAGTTCCCTTGAATGCTGGTAATATTTTAGGTTCAGAGGACAATGGCCCTGCCAAAAAATGGTTGGCTCTAATCCGAAAGACTTTGAACAATCTTCCTGGCACCAGTGGAAGTAGTGGATGTTATACACCATCTCCCATTCCTCAACCAGTTGCAGAGCTAAATGCAGATTTTGAGGGATCAGCTAGGCAGAAGAATTCATCTTTCTTCCATAGGAGATCATTCCAGACAACTTCTAGTGGTTGGGGAATGGATAATGATCCTTCAATTGTGCAGCCACGACTAGATAGAAGATACAGTGTCTGTGATCGTGTGATTTTTGGTCACAGGCCAAGTGACTATGATCCCAGTTTTAGATGGGGTTATAGGCCAAGTGACTATTCCAGGGCAAGTGACTATTCCAGGGCAAGTGACTACTCAAGACCAAGTGACTATTCAAGATGGGGTTCATCTGATGATGATAATGGCCTTGGGGATTCTCCAAGTACAGTCTTATTTTCACCAATGTCTTATGGTAGACCTGCCTCTAATGAAGATGGATATGGCATGCCAGGGCATTCAAGGTACTGCCTTGTTGCTAGTAAGCAAATGGTGGGGATATATCTTACCATATGGGTGAAAAGTGAATTGAAAGATCATGTTCAAAACATGAAAGTATCTTGTGTTGGCAGAGGATTGATGGGCTATCTCGGAAATAAGGTGATTTAAGTCTGTCATGATAGTCCTAGTTTTTATTTTTCCTTAGATTAATTTATGGCAAAAATGATGGTTACCTGAAATTGGCTTAAATAAGAGAGTTATTTTGCTTGTATTTGCAGGGATCCATCTCAATTAGTATGTCTGTGCATGAAACAAGCTTTTGCTTTATCTGTAGCCATTTAACCTCAGGACAGAAAGAGGGTGACGAGCTAAGAAGAAATTCTGATGTGATGGAGATTCTTAAAAAGACAAGGTTTCCTCGTGTTCATGGTGTGGACAATGAGAAGTCTCCACAGACAATCCTCGAGCATGAGTAAGAATCTGCTCATATTCATCTATAATTAATATTTTGAAAATGTCTCTGCAACTGCTAATATATCACCTTGTCCAGGTGTATTGTGCAAAATGCACACAATAGCACTTCTGCTTCCCAATGATTGTTTTTCCTTTCCATTTAACAAAACTTTCGCATTTTCTCATTTTAAATTCATTAATGTAGTCGAATTATATGGCTTGGAGATTTGAATTATCGAATTGCTCTCTCCTACCGTTCTGCTAAGGCACTTGTTGAGATGCAAAACTGGAGAGCATTATTAGAGAATGATCAAGTACGTCTGTTTAACCTCGCAAATAACTCCATGTATTGTTGTATAACAAGCATAATGAGTCTTAATTATTGGCATTCCTGGCAGTTGAGAATAGAGCAGAAAAGAGGCCGCGCGTTTGTGGGATGGAAAGAAGGGAAGATATATTTTCCTCCAACATATAAGTATTCAACTAATTCAGATAGGTATGCTGGAGATGATATGCACCCCAAGGAGAAAAGGAGAACACCTGCTTGGTAAGATTACCGCATCACCTAATAAAAATTTAGAAGAAACTTACTATAAATGCTTAAAGAGGCAATTAAGTGATATGAAGAAAAAAAATTAGATGCTATAAAGTGAAGCATAAGATATGTTTCATAGTTTATGATATAATTTTGTTAAATTGTTACAGCTTATGCTGATATAAATAATTTTCTTTTCATAGGTGTGACCGCATTTTGTGGTATGGAGAAGGTCTCCATCAGTCATCTTATGTCCGCGGGGAATCAAGGTTTTCAGACCACAGACCTGTTTATGGCATATTTTGTGCTGAGGTTGAGTCAACTCATGGCAGATTGAAGAAAAGTGTGAGTTGTTCTCGTTCCAGAATTGAGGTGGAGGAACTTCTGCCATATACCAGTGGATACACTGAACTAAGTTTTTTCTAAAGGACGGCTGGATATGAGACATGTCCATCCACATTCAAGTATGCTATCTATCCCTTATGCCTTCTTTCAATCATGCTTGTCAAACAGTGGAACTTAGGTACCTGAATGATTTTTTTATTTTTTTTCATTTTAAGCTCATGCAAATACATACAAATATAAAAACAAAAAACTATGTGTATGGCTCTAAGCAATCCTGACCGTGCCCCAAAGGGGACCCTGACCTTTTTCTTATTTTCTCGTTGGCTGACGAAAATTGCAAGATTCTGAAGCTGTAACTGATTTATAAGGGGTTGAACATAATAGAGTGGATCCTGCAATCAAAACATAAAGTCTAAAGAATATACTAATATGATCTTGGCCTAGGTGTATCTTGCTTTACTAGATATACAAATTGATTTCATGAATTCGGCAGCCATTATAAACAGAATATGTTCACAGCATAGTCTGGAAAGTCTATATCTCAATCTTTCTGCTTTGAAGTACTTTTGTTCTTTTCTTATTGTCATTACAGTTATTCTTTTCCCCTGAATTAGAAATCTTACATGCACCTATTACTATTCAGCAATTGGTCCCCCATTACCAAGCGGGAATTACTTTGAAGAAATTCATTCATGAAGGGAGATAGGGACAACCCATTTCCCACTTACCGAAAAAGGTTAGTTCTCTTCTCTTTCATGCTTTTCTTGGTTCTGCTTTTGCCCAACTTCTTTTTTGTAATTTTACCTTTACTTTATCTTTGTCAGTTTATAATCTGTAGTTTTGGTCTACTGTTATGCTTTGCCAAACACATGATCAGTTCAGTACATTATCACCATCATCTTGTGCATAATTTGATACCCAATTAACAAACAATCAACTTTCAGTGTCACAGTCATTTGGTACTACATTGTGGTTATTAATGCTAGTTGCTGTTTATGCGAATTAACAGAAATATACACGCTTGCTTACTCATGAAACAAGCCTTTTCCTTGTGCAGGAAGTTGAAGAAGTCGATTTTTTTATTCAAGATTCTTTGATTGTTTTTGGAGAATATTTATGATGACTGAGTGAAGCTGAAAGATCGTCAGAATAATCATTTGGGCACTAACTTTTTTTTTTTAATGCAAAGAAAATGAGAGTTTTGATGTATAGTGATTGCCACGGTATTTGAGAAAAAATAGGAAAAAGAACAATAGAAAGGAAAAAGAATTGAAGTGAATGGTAGAATTTCAGAACATCTTTTGCTCAGTTATCTGTCTCTGTCTGCATGATTAAATTTTACTGATAAAGGAAGTTTTGACACGAAAATCAAATACTATTCCCCACTCCTGCTGAGGCTCTTCTTTTTACTGATGAGGGATAGTATTAAAGTATTTAACAAACTGAAGAGGCTTGCAGGTTTGACAGCAATATTGGAGGTTCTAATCCGGGTTCTCTTCCAAGATGCTACATGCCTGTCGATTGCTGTTTACTTTGACTAGTTGAGTTTAGCCACTTTACCTTGTACCCTTTTTTTTTGTCCATCTGTCTATTTTGGATCACCAAGAAAAGTTCGAACTATAACAATCGCAACCAGGTCGTGGGACAAGATAAAAATGCCACGCTATTCACAAAAAATTACATGAATGTCATAGATCGAAATATTTTTTTTTCAAAATGCCACATCACCTAACTCACTACAGTACCTAGCGAGTTAGGTATGGACACGTGGCAGCAGGTTCATAGCTAGATAAGCCGCTGCACAGTGCAGCAATATTATGTTGCACACAACTTATGCCACAACCTGCAACGCGGCATAAAATGTTAGACAGCTTGGCGTGTTACATGTCTGACACGTGTCAAACTCGCTTTTCTGACATGCGCCCATACATGGTGTGCTGCATAGCATATTATATATAAGTAGCCCCGTGGTCCAATGTTTTTGGTCTAATAAATTCATCCCTTCCCATTTCTTGCATCATTGTGGTCTAATAAATTATATGATAATTTTAATTATAGAATTTTGCATTTTGAAAGAAAATGATTTAAGGAAAGTTAATATTAGTTTGAATATTTTAGTTTTAAATAAATTATGTTAAAATAATTTAATTTAATTTATGTGTGTTAATTAATTTAATTTAATGTAGGAGTGTTAATTAATTTAATTTAATGTAGGAGTGTTAATTAATTTAGTTTATGTTAAATTAAATTATTTTTAATTTTTAAGCAATTAAATTAAATTTAAGAGTGTTAATGAATTAAATTAAATATGTTTGTTAATTAAATTAAATTAAATTAACACTCCTACATTAAATTAAATTTGTCAACACAAATAAATTAAATTAACAGTCTTAAATTAAATTATTTTAGCATAAGTTATTTAAAACTAAAATAAAAAATATTAATTTTCCTTAAATCATTTTATTCCAAAATACAAAATTCAATAATTAAAATTATCCTATAATTTATTAGACCACAATGATACAAGAAATGAGAAGGGAAGTGGTGAATTTATTAGACCATAAATGCTAGACTGCTGAGCTACTTACAGATAATATATTATGCAGCACAACATGTATGGCCACGTGTCAGAAAAGCTGACATGTAACATGCTATGCAGCATAGCGAGTTTGACACATGTTAGACACGTAACACGCCAATTTGTCTAGCGTTTTATGTCGCGTCGCAGGCTGTGGCAGAAGCTGTCTACAACGAAATCTCACTGCACTGTGTAGGGACTTACGTGGCCATGAACCTGCTGTCATATGTCCACACCTAACTCGCCAGGTGTTGTAACGAGTTAGGTGATGTGACATTTTGGAAAGAAAAAAATCTGGTTCGTGACATTCAGGTAATTTTTTGTGAATAGTGTGATATTTTGATAGTTGTCTCCCAATACGTTGCAGAATAAGACTAACCCTTAATAATTAATTGTGTAATAATGCCATTAAAATATGCATTAACGACGTTCTTGACTGTTCACTCCACTAATTCACAGTAGGATGAAGAGTGATGTAGTCTCATATGTCAAATGAGTTTAGAGAGTTTAAAACGGTTATGATATCAGTATTTTAATGTTCAGAATCCATCATCTCATTCATATATTGAGGAGTCATTATGCTAAAATCTCGTCTAGCTATAACCGTGTTATTGCGCTTTTCCTTTGATTCTCAACTAGCTATAATTCATATTATTTCTTTCCCTTGTCATTGTTACATTGATTTACTTCACATTTAAAGGAACGGGGGCAGGTTTGAGAAATTCCTTCCTTCCAGAGGCATTCGCCAAGGGGACCCCTTATCTCCGTACATTTTTGTATTATGCATGAACAAACTGTCCCACTTGATCTCGGAAGCTGTTGGGAATAATAGATGGAAGCCGCTGAAGGTTGGTAGTTCAGGCCCTCACATCTCTTGTAACACCCCGTTCTAGAACCGGTTTGTTAACATCGCATTATGATATTAAGCGCAGTTACAATCACATTCGCTCAATTAAAAATTCGGATAAATTTTTCTTTTTAAAACGACGCCAAATTTAAAATATCCAATTGCGTGATCATAACCATATTACCTTGCGGAATCAGATAAACCAAGCTTAACATCATGTTCTTATTCCATTTTTAAATTTATTTCTTATTTATTTCACAACTTCTACTATATTGTAGATCTCTTCGTTAGCTACGCGTGGTTTCAAACCGCGCTCAAATCGGAGCACTGTAGCCCAAGTTATGGGTTTTCTACGAAACGCGTGTGCGAATCCTGCTGATCCCGGCGCGACTGGCGCCAGCTGTGGCGCGGAGGGCGCCAACGAAACAGAAGCTCCCTATCGCTATGGCGCTGGATGCGCCAAGGTTGGAGCCAGGTGCGCCAGCTGGTGATCCCAGCGCGATTTGCGCCAACACCGACGCGATGTGCGCCACGAAACAGAAGCTTTCGAGCACAATGGCGCGATGTGCGCCATGGTTGGCGCCAAGTTCGCCAGAGTTCTGAAGGTTTCACCAAGTCTTAGTATTTTACCTCTAACTAGAGTTGTACTTGTCCAAATTACACAATATTGGTCTCTATGGAAAGCTAAGAAAAATATCTACAACTTCCATACATACACCACAGTCCAAATCTATCATATAAATTCCTCTCCATAAATGGTTCTTAGTTCTTGCATAATACAAATACATCTAAAGGGACATGCATGCCCTTTTCCTCATGGCTTGTACTAAAATTTGGGCAGCATAACCTTTGTTTTCTCAACAATTCCCAATTTGGAACTAGGTACCTAATATAATTTCTCAGCCCAACCAATTCAATAACTCAATACATAAAAACATGCATATATTGAATTTCAAGTAGGCATCATTTACAGTACATATTCATTACAAATCATGGAACTTAGCTTACAAACACTATGATCATTCCCTTGACTCCCAACAACAAAAGAGATGACCAAAGGCATGAGCATAGGCTAAGTCCATTCCAATATACCAATCATAAATCTATCTTTGCCTATCATTACAATTCTATACATGTGAGCTACAAAACAACATGTATAATCTCAAAAAATGCAACACTTCATGCATATGCTAATCCAGATATGGTCACTTGCCACCAGAGGCTCCTGCAGCTTCCTTACCTGAAAAGGGGTCCCCACAACACGGGGTGAGATATACGAATATATCCAGTAAACCAGGAGTCCTTGGAGCATTTCTCCACCCCACAGTTCCATATCAGTGTAATAGCAATAACAATAATAATGCAGTAAATACATATTTATGCAAAGTGCAATAACATCTCCAGGAGAAATCCCTCGAGCTCTCAAGCTTTCCTAAGAAAACTCATATGCAAATAGTCCTACTGGCCAGCTAACTACCAAGTATGATTTACGCATCGTCATGCAACATACCAACATAGGAAAACACCATCCTATGCCACACCAAATGCATACACATACGTATAACAAAACATTACACTATTTTATTGCATTTATATACACAAACACAACTTCTACCCTTTCAGGGCTTGGTAGAACAGTCAAGGGAATTACACCCAAGGTCCGAAGGCTTACCTCAAGCTTTAGCCAACCTTTGTTCCCACCAACCGGTTCCACAATCAATCAACTTTGGTTTCAAGCTATGGTTTACGCAGCACACACCTACATCCAGGTGTCATAGCATCAATCATGCAATTCAATGAATATCTACATATATTCATCATCAATACAACAATACCACACCACAATTGGCATGGACTTACCTATCACAAAGAGCTAATCAAGCTCCATTGCTTGCTCCAATGGTTGATCACTTACGGTTGCTCCAAATGCCTCAATCCTAGACATCATTAGGACACAAACATCAATCAACCAAACCAAACCTTTTATCATTAATGCAAGAAAATCCAATATCAAGCATTAAATTCTTGCAATTTTCCAAGGTATAGTCATATAACTATCTAAGCTCATTTCCACCGATTAAATGCCATTCCTAGCATTTTTCACAACATACACTAAGCTCCATTCTTTCTAGAACATAGCTAATTTAACCACATTTCATCAAAACCCCAATTTACTATTCATTGAACCCTAACTCATGCAATTTTCCATGAAAATAAAGTTCAAAGGGTAGAATCTTACCACCAATGGTTGCACAACCAAGCAAGGAGCGTTCCTCAAGCTCCCATGGAGGTAGAAA